GAGAAAGAAAAAAAAAGGAAAGATATATGAGGGGATTATAAAGTGAAAAATGGAACTCAACATAACGAAGTTCAGTAAACAAATCAAATGAACTAATACCATATTCTGGTCATTTCACAGGCGGACTCAAGATTTGAAGGTCGCAGGTATACTTTTAGATTCAATCAAAATCTGCTTTATATATAGGATGTCACTGCTAATACATCACTATTTTATAAAAATATATAAAATTTTGTCAAACTTTACACGTGCCAGTGACCCCTCTTGATATAGTATAGGCTGCCTCTGGGTCATCTGATACTTGTTTATTAAAAAGAAGGGAAAACAATGTTAATCCTTCATTTGTCCAAATTAGTTGTCATGTTTCACTTCTCGAGAGTTAATTTGACTAAGTTTCGAAGCTAAATTAGATTAGATCAACTATATAAAAAGTATCACAAGTAGCAATTATTTTCATGTCAATATGATAAAAATATATGTTTCAAGATATTGGCAAAGTTCATATAATTTGACTCTTGGGAAGCCAAATGTGACAACTAATTTGGGACGGAGGGGGTGATTTCTTTTCTGAAACAAACAAACTAAGGTCTCATTGCGATATAAGTCGCAATTATCAAATAACGACAATCCGTCGATTGGTATATACGACGTATTTGTCAATTGGGATATGTGCGTTGTATCATTCGTGGTGTTCATTCCCGTATAAGTCGTTCATTAATTTCGATTATAAATATAATTTATGAGTCACATCACTAAATGCAATTTGCTCTCTTTGCTACACCTTTGAAATTTGGAGCCCAAAGCATACATTTGGGGATTGAATTCAATATAATATGTCATCAGCGACCAGTTTGAATTGACCAAAACAATTTTAAGAAAATATTTTTTCCCGTATAAGTCGTTCATTAATTTCGATTATAAATATGGTTTATAAGTCACATCCCTAAATGCAATTTGCTCTCTTTACTACACCTTTGAAATTTGGAGCCCAAAGCATACATTTGGGGATTGAATTCAATATAATATGTCATCAGCGACCAGTTTGAATTGACCAAAACAATTTTAGAGAATATTTTTCGGTAAACTAATTCACCTCTTTTGAAGCTTGGATTGGGTTGGCATATTAAAGCTTGATTATAATGTTGGCAAATTGACTTAGTGTTTTGATGTAACTTTAATATTAAAAATTAATAATAATAATAATAATAATAATAATATATGTGTTGTTTGAATCAATAGTATGAAATTAAGAGTTCAGATAGTTGTAAAGAGAAATAATTTTCACTCACAAGCTAAATAATTGTTTTTTTGACATTCCATTAATATGATCCTTGGAACTATCAAATACTTTCAAACACAAATTTCCTACTTTTTTGTAGCACCAAACACGCCAGAAAGGATGGTTTATGTGAAAACATGCGAAATATCAGATGATATCTACCAATTCTATCGTGCTAAAAGGAATAATCAAAGACAAAAGTTGTCGAAATCTGCACCAAGGAGTCAAGCACAACGTCGAGTTCCACGTTGGGTACTATGATAATATATGAATATATAGATGCTATTGTTATTTGAAACAAAAAAATAAATATAATTAAAGTTTTCACAATTTTTTTAACACGTGTTTTTGGACGAATTGAAAGATAAACAAAATACAAGCCACATAAGAATACGGTTGAAGAGATCGAAAATTACTATTAAGGAAGAAAAATAAAATACGGGCGCACATTTTCCATATGCTTCTATATTTGCTTGATTCAATTGTATTTTCTGTGAACTTTTTCACGTGATTCTTAGTCATTTGAGATATTCTTATAGATGAGAAAGAAAAAAAAGGAAAGATATATGAGGGGATTATAAAGTGAAAAATGGAACTCAACATAACGAAGTTCAGTAAACAAATCAAATGAACTAATACCATATTCTGGTCATTTCACAGGCGGACTCAAGATTTGAAGGTCGCAGGTATACTTTTAGATTCAATCAAAATCTGCTTTATATATAGGATGTCACTGCTAATACATCACTATTTTATAAAAATATATAAAATTTTGTCAAACTTTACACGTGCCAGTGACCCCTCTTGATATAGTATAGGCTGCCTCTGGGTCATCTGATACTTGTTTATTAAAAAGAAGGGAAAACAATGTTAATCCTTCATTTGTCCAAATTAGTTGTCATGTTTCACTTCTCGAGAGTTAATTTGACTAAGTTTCGAAGCTAAATTAGATTAGATCAACTATATAAAAAGTATCACAAGTAGCAATTATTTTCATGTCAATATGATAAAAATATATGTTTCAAGATATTGGCAAAGTTCATATAATTTGACTCTTGGGAAGCCAAATGTGACAACTAATTTGGGACGGAGGGGGTGATTTCTTTTCTGAAACAAACAAACTAAGCGTGTATTCAGTAACGATGCCAATTATTTTCTGAAAATATTTTCAGAAAATAAGTTATTACTATATTTTTCAAAAAACAAGTCATTTTCTCGCATTCAAACGTGAAAAACATTATTTTTTTATTAAAAGACAAAATATGTCTTTTTCGCTTATATTTTTCTCCAATGATCCATTTGAAATATTTTTTAAATTTTAAAGAGTGTTAGATACTAAACAGAATTTACTGTGAAAATAATTTTCGAAAAACATTTTCACCCTATATAATTTCACCTTTTTCTTTTTCAAAATGAATGGTTATAAGGTTGAATTTCCCTATATTAGCTCGTGTAGTAGGTGAGCTATCAGTGAGCTTTCCTCATTCACCTAACGAAACAGCAAATTCATGGAGTCTCACTCTCTAACAATTCGCGCCAAATTCCCAAACCATTTCCACATTTCATCATCTCTTCCTCGCTTGGCCATTATCAATATACCAAACTCTAAATTTCTCTTCATATTGTCTTCTTCTCCGATGCCTCTTCTTACATCTTCACGGCGACTTGAAATCCACCGGAGAAGGACCTCTTTTTCACGGCAGTCTTCGAATTCGAGCTCAAAATTTATCGCACGCGCCGTGGGAAGTGATTCTGACCGCCAATCAAATGTGACCAGAGAGCTAATCATTTTGAACTCTGTTTTAACTCTGGTGCTTGGGGTTGCGAATCGTGTACTTTACAAACTTGCCCTTGCTCCTATGAAAGAATACCCATTTTTTCTAGCTCAGGTTACCACTTTTGGGTGAGTTTTATAATTTATTCTTACAATTATAGTGTGATCACGTATATACCTCATATACCTGTGCGATATGATTTGGTTTTTGTACCTTCAAAATTAGAGTTCTTTCTAGAACTAGGGAATTTGGGTAAGCTTATAAGCTGGTCAATGTTTGACTCAAAAGATATTACAACCTTTTTGAATAAATCAATCAAAGAAAATGATGGGATAAATCTTAGGCAAGCATAATAATCAGTAGAACAAAAAAAAGGTATAAGATGAACATAACGAATAATGTTTCCCGATCTTGTGAGGATCGTTAATTGAGCGTTAGATATACTACTAGTGTTTCGTAGAAGAGTATTACAATCAATGTTCTGTCTTAGAGAGACATAAAAAAAAAGGAGCCCCTTTTACAAGGTTGTTCCCCCACTATATAAGGGACAGACCCCTTCTAGATCTTAAAAAGCGTATTACGGGGAATATTCGAAGGAATATTCCTAACGCCCTCTATCGAACCTATGTTGAGCTACGAGTATCTCGCCATTGGTCGTGTTCGTCAGTGGTCGTGGTCGTCCAAATTTGGATCCATACAGTTAGTCCCTCCGTTTGTCGAGGTAGCAACTCGACGTGTCCTTGATGAGCGGACACATTTCACCCTTCGTGGAGAAATTTGGTTTCATGGAGCGTTACGACCCGGCCAATAGTGGGGGGTCAACGTGCTTAACAAGACATTGGTGTTGTGTCTTATCAGGAAATGACGTCATCTGCCTTTTCGTCATCGTTATGCATGTTTTCGAGACAGGGGCTGACGGCTTGTCGCTTCGGTTTTGGTACCAACCTGTAGTCTTTCGCCTCGATTCCGGTGCTACTCTGCAGCTTTTCGCTTTGATTCCGCTGCTACCCAATCCTATAAATAGGTGGAGGGTTTGTTTTTTCAAAAACTCTTGGCCATTTCACGTCACCCTTCCTCATCTTCCCTGCATTCGTTCTCACGGTTTTCTGCTTCTTCATCTTTCATTTTCCACCCACAGCTTTCTTTGCGATTCTAACATCTTTCCCGTTGAAGCAATGCCTAGAACACATTGATCCCATGAAGGGGTTTCTGAGGCGGACCCGCTGTCCGTGGCATTCCCCTCCGCCGGCGAGGACACGATGGCGGAAGAGGGGGGAAGCTTTCCTACCGTGGAGGAATTACTGCCGAGACACCCTACCTCTCGGAGTGACTTCCTCAAAGATCCCGCCCCCATTCCTACCCCAGTGTTCTCCGATACGGACCAAGCTCATATAGATGCCCTCCATACAAAGCATAGTATCCCCGCCCATATCGATATGGTTCCGGCGGGGACGGTCTTCGTGGAAGTCCATAGACCTGGGTACTGTGCTTTTTATGAGTACCCTTTCGTGATCGGTTACTCTTTCCCTATCCCTCAGTTGGCGGAAGAGTTCTGCAGATTCTATCAAGTCTGCCCGGCGCAATTCTCACCATACACGCTTAAGATACTTCTATTGTTGATAAAGTATGCGGAGTTGGCGGGATGTGAGGTGACTATCCATCATCTCTTGCACCTGTTCTCACCCAGCTTTAACAGGGGCACGATGGTGCATTTGAGACATCGTGGAACAAAGGGGCTGGTAGTGGGAACCGACGACCAGACGATTCGTAAGTTCTGGCACAAGTATTTCTTCGTCAGAACTGCCCACATCGTGTCTGACCCTGCTAGGTTTCCGGAGCGGTGGAATTATAAAAGTGAGTGTCGCCATTTTCTTTCTTCTCCTCCCCCTTTCTTTTGTTTCTTCTTTATTTTCCTTAGTGTTTGTTTACCTCTTGTTTGCAGCTATGGGACGCCCTCCTCGCTCTATTGCGGGCATAAGGGATTGGGTAGCTCGTCTGCTCTCCTATGCAGTGGAGACTCGAGACTGGCCTGCTTTCATAAAGCGCTTCGGGCCGAGAGTCTCAGTAAGTGCTTCCCCTTATATCACTCATTGATTGTGTGTTTCACTATCTTGTGAGGATCGGTAATTGAGCGTTAGATGTACTAATAGTGTTTCGTAGAAGAGTATTACAATCAATGTTCTGTCTTAGAGAGATAAAATAAAAAAAGAATTACAAGAAAATACACTTGACATCACACCATAGCAAAAAATAGTCCATGTTTTTAAGTTTTACCCAACATAGCCCATATTGTACATATTTTGAAAGCAGTAGCAAATTCAAAATTTGTGTTCTTACAACCATAGCTTCTAAAAGCTATGGAGTTAAATTTTGTGTTCTCACAACCATTGCTTTCACTCTATTTTCTTATCACGTCTTCTACATATGCTTCAAGGGGCTGTCCGCCATTACTACTTCTCCGCTTGTGTCACCTAGTTGCAATGTAAGAAAATTGAAGAGTAGACGTACACCATTGAAGGCTATTCAAAGCTTTGCTTTCAAAAATAGGATTTTTTGAGTTTGTTAGTTGTTTGGATTGGGTGTTGTTCTAATTGATTGAAAATATCAAAAGGAGTTCAAAATTTAATTTTGAAGTGATTTTGAGTAGATTTGAGCAAGATTTGAGTTAAATTTCAAAAAAGACGCAAGGAAGAGACGAAGTCAGTTTTTTGTATAATTATGTATAATCTTGTATAAAAGTGTATATGAGTGTATAACCACATCTTATATACTATTATACACTTTTATACACCTTTATACAAGCGTTTGTAGACGAACTTCTTCCACAATTTTCAGTTGCAATTCTTGTTCAAAACCAGTCCAAATCTCCATTAAATGACTTCAAATTTTATATGCAACCTCCTTATGCTATTTCTAACAATTCAAAATAACAACCTCTCCAAATTTCTCACAAAATCAAATGCGGAATCTAAACCCACATATTTAAGCTTGTTAAAAATCTAATTTTCACCATTCAAATGGATTTGGTTTGTTAAACTAATATTTTAGTTACAGTTACTGATTCAAAAATTAACTTAAAAGCTTGAACAAATTTTTTTTTTTAAAATTAATTAGTGATTTCGAGAATTTATTGGAGTTGGATGTTGAGTCTTAGCCTATTATTTTTGGGCTAATTGATTGTAAATTGAAATATGGGTTATAAAATTGAAAAGTAGGAATCCCAGTTGTTCTTATGTGAAATTTTCCCAAAAAAAAAAGGAGCCCCTTTTACAAGGTTGTTCCCCCACTATATATAAGTGTCGTGGTCGTCCAAGTTTGGACCCATACAGTCAAACTGCTTATAATCACTTTTATGAATTTAAAAGATCAGTTTCAACGCTGAAAAGTGTTTTTTCAACACTTAATCCTTGTTAGCTTTTATTTTTTATTTTTTGATTTGCACCGGGTGTTCGAGTCTCTAAGAGCCCCGACTAATCCCGGGGGTGCACAGGCCCTCGGCAAAGAGTTTCCCGCAAGTGTACCACGGTTAATTCAGGTTTTACCCAGTCCGATGACCCTCAGAAATTGTTTGCACCCAGTGAGTTTCGAACTTGAGACCTTGAAAGGGAGCAAACTCCAAGGCTCAAGTCAATTGCCACCAGGCCAACCCCTGAGGGTTCTTAATCCTTGTTAGCTACTTTCAATTAGCTAACCCAAACGGGCTCTTAATACTTTCTCCAACTTAAAAAGAACGACACTTACTATTTGAAGAGTGTGATTGTTTCTCTTTTTCCTTTGACTACAACCTTTTCATTTATTTTATAAAATTAATGATAAAAGATTGTGACGTATAATGTTTCTTTCTCTGAATTTGTAAATTTTATTTTTAAACCTATACTTGATTTGAGATAAAAAAAATATATTTAGTATTTGACCCTCTACTTTATACTGGATTCGTTAAGAGTATATTGTAGACTTGCCTACAGATATTTTTCAGCCTAGACTTCAACGCGGCTATGAGTATTGTGAAGAAAATGCCATAATTTTTTAGTTGAATGAATCTCTTGGTTTGACTTCGAAATTGTACTTCGACTTAATGACTTGTATTAACTATTTATGAAGTGTATGCCTAGTTACCTTAGGTTAAATTAAATTGCAATTACATGGTAGATATAAATCTTTGATGGTACAAGCTTTCTTTTAACTATAGCATAGTCCAGGTAGCTAGTCAAGAAATATAATCAGTAAATTTGCAATTACTACATGTTGTCCCTAAATGACCTTGCAGAGATCTCCATAATCAGCTCCCCCAACAATGAAAATAACGTCTTTAGGGCAAAAACTTCCACTTTGAAGTACCTTAAGAACAATGGAGAATACTCTGTTTGTTACCATTTATAGAGAGGTATTTGATAGGGTGTGGAGTTTAAGAGGTTAATTTGACCTATATATCATATCGGTGATGGTAGAAGAAAAACATCACAAGAATGGTTGAAGGATAGTTTTATAGAGAAAACATCACATCAAAATTGAAATTTAGATATAAATCTTTGATGGTACAAGCTTAAGTTTTAACTATAGCATAGTGTCCACGGTAGCTAGTCAAGAAATATAATCAGTAAATTTGCAATTACTACATGTAGAGATCTCCATATCAGCTCCCCCAACAATGAAAATAACGTCTTTAGGGCAAAAACTTCCACTTTGAAGTACCTTAAGAACAATGGAGAATACTCCATTTGTTACCATTTATGGAGAGGTATTTGATAGGGTGCGGAGTTTAAGAGGTTAATTTGACCTATATATCATATCGGTGATGGTAGAAGAAAAACATCACAGGAATGGTTGAAGGATAGTTTTATAGAGAAAACATTACATCAAAATTGAAATTTTGATCGGATGCGTGAATTTCTTAATTCTTGAAAGTTATGACAGCTTTTTAGAAGAGGAACTGTGACAAATATTCTGGAACTTTTCAAAATGAGAAGAGTATCAGATAAATTGGGACGGAGTAACACTAACATCTTTAGTCCTATGTTTCACTTTGAAAAATCATTTTAAGACCAAAGAAGGAAGAGGATGAGGTGACATGTAATAAGTTTGTTACCTTTTACATGTAAAAAACTGTTCCAACCTTAGCTTGTGAGTAGAGACACTATTTTCTTGACCCGTTTGTTTTAGTAATTGATCGATCACCTATTGCATTTTCGAAGCCCAAAATTACAACTGGACATTGTTCCTAGTAAATTTCTTTTGCATTGAAGATGCTGGGATTGGAATGTAACTACTGGAATACCGGTTATATCTCTCTATCATTGATTGCTAGAGACCAACTTTCCATGCAGTTGCACAAGTGCAAATACATGGCTCTATGCCGTCATGTCTCATATTCTAGCATGTCAGAATAATGTAAGTTATCAACAGGTTTTGACCTAACTTAGATGGGTAGGCAAATAAATGACAGGTGAATATTTGAGTCTTCGGGGGCAGCATTTGCCTACATTCAAGTCGATGACAAGCTGAGAAGATGATCTAAATTAAGACACTAAAATATGTTTGTCAAAACAGGTTCTGAGAAACATGTAACTTTGACTTTTATTCTGAAATGGCATGATTTAATTGAGCTTTTTGATCCTGGTTAATTGCTATTTGTTATACTGTGTAGAGGCTGATAGTTAATGTGGTTCATTAACTTCAGGTACTTGGCTATTTACTTATCCATATTGTATGCGAGATATCGTGCTGGTATTGTAACTAACGAGATGGTGGCCTATCCAAAATCACGCTTTTTGCTCATTGGTTTCCTTGAAGCCCTGGGGGTTATTTCTGGAATGTATGCTGGAGGTATTACGTTGTACTTAGGAAAGTTCTAGGATAATAAATTAACTGTTGCCCCTCCCTGTCTAGATTAATATCTCTGCCTGCTTTGGAAAAAACATTTAGTTTAGATCCTTTATGTGTTCTGCTTTCTTACTCTAAACTCTCGTCTTCCCACAATAATTAGACTTTTCTCGTTACTCTAAACTCTCGTCTATTGGAAACAGCCTCTCTACCCTATGGTAGGAGTAAGGTCTGCGTACACACTACCCTCCCGAGACCCCACTAGTGGAATTATACTGGGTTGTTGTTGTTGTCTCATTTTTTTCGCTGCTTGATATGAACCTGAAAAACAATAGTAAGCTCCACGAAGAAATGAATATGAATGATTCAATCAGTTAAGAAGTCATTTCTGATCGCTTGCTTTTTGGTATTTTACAGCAATGCTTCCTGGACCAGCCATACCGATACTTAATCAGGTAATGTTAACAATAGTAGCTTCCCTTTATTGCCAAAAAACACATGAGTGGTTCACAATTTATCTTTCCATTTACAGTAGATTTCCTAGAGGGTGGACAGTGGGATACCCTTTTCTGGTGGAATGACACATTCAATGCATCCTTGATTTTCCTTTAGCATCCACAAAATGCCATTAGAACTTATTACTCCATTATAGTAGCTGTTGGATGAGGATTAAATGCATGCCCAGTGACTCGGATTAAATGTATAGATGTAAAAATTAGCATTTGACTTGAATATAGCATTTAAGCTGTCTTGAATATGTATTGGGCTCCTCCACTTCAAGAGCTTTTCTTGAAAAATACCAGAACTTTTGATGGAATATCAGTTCAACATTTCATATGCACTATTTAATCAATTAACTACACCTCAATATCAAAGAAGTCGTGAAATACCTTTAAACAAAAAGTCCCAAAGGAAGAGGACAAATAACTTATATAAACATAATGATTTATCCATATAGGTCACGTAGAGCATTTTGTTAGAGATAGTAACTGTTATCAGCATTTATTGTTCCATGAAACAAGCTAGTCTTAGTAAACTGAGAATTTTGTATTACCCAGAAGATGACCCAGTACTGTTAAATCTTTTTCTTTGTTTCCTTGTAACTTGCATCAGATATATGTATTTTGCAGTCCCCCTACCCCCCCCCCCCCCCCCCAATTTCTTATGTTTTAGGAAAACGGGGTCTGTATGAAATTATCTAGTTTATCAGTCTATGAAACTGGATATCTGGAGGTGATCAGCAAAGTATTAAATAAATTGACGCTACGGTTATGATTTGGAGTCCAAGGATTCTGCCAGCACAGTGTCAGGTAGTAGTTTACTCATTTCAATGCCTTGATGGAAACACTTTGTTTTATTTCCTCTTACTTTTTAATGGATTCATGGATTGGG